TGCGCTGTGCCCTGAGCCGTCCCCTGCCGGCAGCAGACAGCTCGGTAATGAAGCGTAATGCTCCGGCACTCCCCTGAGTGACAGCGGCCAGCACCGGCTGTGTCCCCGCAGCTCAGCACCGCCTCCCCTGCCTGCCAGCGAGGGCATGAGCATCCCCCTGCCACCGGCAGGGCTGGGGGATGCAGAGTGGTCACCTGCTAGGGGATGCTCAGCTGGAATCCCCTGGGGGAAAGGAAAAATAATAAGGATAAAACGGTGTTGAAAGAAATAAATCAAGTAAAAAAAAAAAATAAACCAACATAAAAGAAAAGAAGGTTGAAAATAATAAATTGAGGTTTGATGCTGTGTGGTAAATTATTTCGGTATTATATATTCCCCAGCTTCAAATCCTGAAGACAAATACTGGGGCAGGTGAAGTGGGAAGCAGATTTCCAAAGGCTTCTCCCGGCTCCAGGTTATTGACTCTGTCAATCACGGCGGGCGCCGTCCCCACCTCTGGCACCCCGCAAAATCGGCTCCTTTTGTTCCTGCTGAAAAACTGGGGGCGGGGGAAAAGGAGGGGAGAGGAATTTGGGGCAGGGAACTTCCAAAAGAGATGATTAAGGAGTTAATCTGCCTGAAATAGATAAGGAGCTTAGAGCTGCTGGTATTTGACTGTCCAAGTTTGGATTCAGCGTGTCTTAAACACTGGCTGGAATGTACTTAGATATGACCAAAGTACATGTCCCCCCGAGGAATTACCAGGTTGCCAATTAGATTTGCTTCCCAGATTCACTCAAAACCTTCACAAGCTTCTTCAGAGCAGGAAAATTGCTGCCTGTCCCTGGGGAGAGGCAGAGCAGCCGCTGCTGCCTGGCCCTGCAGCCAGCACAGCACAGCACGGCATGGCACGGCACCAGATCCCAGTGGGCAGCCACAGGATTTGCAGGAAGGTGGCACAACCAGGATGAGGGCAAGGAAGGGATGCCTGTGCCAGGGTATGGGGGCACCAGGCATGGCCTGGTGGGTGTTTCTGGGGGAATTTGGGTGGTTTTGGGTGCTTGGGGTGCCGGTGTGAGCCTTGCCATGGTCATGGTGTGGCGCAGTGGTGGAGCCCTCACCAGAGCAGGCTCAGCATTCCGTGGGGTTGCAGAGCCACGGCTCTCCCTACCTCCAACCAGGCTCACAGTGCTGCCATGCAGCCAAATCCAACCCAAAACACCCCAGCTCAACCTCCAGGCAGGGGACACAGCACAGAACAGAGCCATGATGGTACGTGGGGAAGGCAAGCAAACACCAAAACATGAACAAACCCCTCTGGTGAACACCTGGCTCCTGGTCCCTGAGGGCTCCTGGCACACCACAAACTCAGCACAACCCAATGCTCAGAGCAGTGAGAACCCCTGCCCATGCCAGGCTGAGGGTCACCACGCAGGGGCCACAACAACAATGAACACTGGGACAAAGTGGAGGTAGAAAAGCAAACACCAACCCCTGCAAACCCCCTTCATTATCCCTTTATTTTAACCACTCCATCCCCATCCTGGTTATTTATGGTGCTTCATAACATGATGGTGAAAGCAATGAAGTTTGGGGGGCTGCATGACCAACACAGAGAGAGGACCACAATGGGGGATCCCACCACCAGCTCCCACATGCAGGCACCAAATTCCTCTCTGATCCTGGGCTGTATTTACTAAATCTGAGCTCAGTTTCTGTGCTGGCATCCCAACCCCATTGAGAAGTGTTGGGAGTGGCAGCCAGTCTCACCAGGCTGGTGTCAGCACTGCTGGAGTGGCGGCGGCACCGTGATGGAAAGTTGCAGGAACATCAGCTTTGGATGCTGAGTCCTGGTAACAGTTGCTATGTGAAACATTCAGAGGTGGAATTTACTGTCACAGTTAATAATAGATGAAGGTTTTAGAATTTTTGATGCTTTACATTTTAAGCTGTTTGATTTATAATGTTTCAGAAGAGGGTGGGGGGGAGGCAGGAGATGAGCAGCAGCATGAGGTAAACAAAGCAAGTGGGGAGGTGGGCAAAAGGCTCCATCCATCCATCCATCCATCCATCCATCCATCCATCCATCCATCCATCCATCCATCCATCCATCCACCATCCCCCTGCCCATTCCAGAGATGCACTGAGGTAGCCAACAGTGGGATGGGGTCTCCCCACCAACCACCAAAACCACTGAGCATCCTGGTGGAAAACCACGGCATGACTGGGACGGAGCCCCTCAATTCCACATTGCACTTCATTGTGGGGGTTTTTTTTGCCTGCCTCTCTTCTCCCTGCTTTCATTCTGGCGGGTTGCTGGGTTATTTACTTGCTGGCTCCTCTCTCCTCTCCTCTCTTGCAGGTGTATTTCAAGTAGCTCCGTAAATAGCAGCGCGCGGCGTGCCTGCGGTGGGGCGCGCGGGTCCTGCTGATTAGGAACGCGCTGCCAAAAAAAAAGAAGGGTCTCAATTCCCTGCCAAGCTGTCACCCTGCTTCCACAAAGAGGTGCCAGTGTCCTGAGGGGATGCTCCCCCTGGATCCTGGGGGGCTGGCGTGTGCTGTGTCCGCTCCTTCCTGGGATGGAGCAGAGAGCACAGGTGCTGGGTGAAGAACCTCGGTGTCTCATGGTGTCCTTTGGTGTCCTCCATGTCCCATTATGGGCTCCAAAGCTCTGTGATGGCTTCAGCTCTGGCACGTTCTTCCTGCTTCTTCCAAATGTTGGAGCATCCCAGAACCTCAGATGTGTGGTCAGGAGGATTTAATCCCAGCTCAGTAGGGCTTCAGGTGATGGCATGAGGAGCAGAACGGGACTCCACACTTCCTCCACCAGTGCTGGGCACACAGTGACATCCTGACACAACTGGAGGGTGGGATGGAAGAGAGGGGGTTCCCTTCTACTCCCCCAGACGCAGTGCAGAGAGGAGGTACTTTGCAAAGCTGTTGGGAGGATGTGGTGACTGGAGCTTCCAACACGTGTAGACATCCCAGCCCTAACCAGCTCCATGGCTCCTGCCAAAGCCCTGAGTGCACACAGGGCCTGCCAGACCTCAGGTGGTGGCTGAGGTGCATCCCACACCACCAGCACCCTCCAGCCCCTCTGGAGCCCCTGTTTCCCCCAGGGGTCCTGGGCTGAGCTGCCCCATGATGTCTCAATCAGGGCTGTGTGTCTCCCCATTTACATACACTCATCCCGGCTGGAGCTGAGCATAATTTCCTTATAAAGCAGCTTTGACACACGGGGTAGCTCGCCTTAATGAGGAGGGTTATTCCACAAAGATCCATCACTAATGGGCTTGGGGCAGGCAGAGCCTGTGCATGCAGACTCCTGCTGCCAAACCCAGCACCACACTGCACCCAGATCTCCCCATGGACACAGCATCCCCACCAGAATTACACCACAGCTGAGCCAGCGCCAGCAACCTCTGTCTTGGTGGGATCTCACCCTGATCCCAGCAAGATCCTGTGCCTCTGCCAGCTGCCTCTCTGCCTTGCATCAAAACCCACTTGGAGGTCCAAAAAGGCAACCGTGAGGCACATCTTGGCATGGAAACCACTCAACCCTTCCCAAAAAACAGCTCCAGGGAGGGAGATCAAAGTCAGCACAGCACTGGAGTCCCCCAGTACCCACTGAAACACCAAACCATCCACATCCCTGTCTGCACAGGCACCTGCTCTACCACGGCACGGCTCCCACCTGGCACCAGCTCTGCCAGTGACCAGCCCGCCATTACCACAACTGCCTAATTAAAAAACACATTAAAACCCCCAAGAGCAGGTCCCTCCCTGGAGAGCCCTAACAAATTCAATGCCCAGGTTCACCCCCAGCTCCCCCAGGGCCCCCCGTTAGCGCCAGGTGCCTCGTTAGCCGCCCTTGTGCCGACCCCTGGCTGCAGCTCGTTGGTGGCATCGAGCAGCCCTGCCCCAGACACCTTCTCCTGCGACCAGAGGCGCGCTGCGTCCCAGGGCACTGTCACAATATATTAAGAAGCGGCGCTAAAAATAAGCAGCAGCAAAAATAAGCAGGGAAATCGCAGTCCCTGCCTGCCCCTGCCGGCCTCGCACCGGCGGAGCTCCCGCTGCCGCACGCGAGCTGGGGAAGCACGTCAGGAACGAGAGGATTTTGCTGGGTTTTATTAAAACGACGTGGTTTTCCCCTCCCTCCGCCCCCATCTCCAGCCTCTCCGTGGAGCGAGCCCCGCGGTGACACACAGGACTCGGTGACAAATCATCCCGGGGGTGGGCGGTTTCTCTGCATGCTGGTGGTTCCAGGCATGGCCGCAGCTGGCGTGAGGCCCTGCCTGTCCCTCCGGGGCTGGAGCAGATCCTTGCTCACCCCACAGAGCCAAAGATGGGGCTCTGTCCCCCGACGGGGACACCCCAGGAGCCACGAGCGCTGCTCCGTGTGCCCACCAAAGGATGGATGGGTTTTGGCCAGCCCTGTGTTAGACACAACAGCCAGGCTGGCTACCCCCATTCCCAGAGCTGCCCAACATCTGCAAGCACCCCATTCTCCCTGTTAGCCAGGCACCTGAGTGCCAGTGTGGCACAGCCCATGGGATGACGGCAGCTAGCACCCCATTCTCTCTGCACCCCAATCTCCCTGCTAGCCAGGCACACGAGTGCCAGTGTGGCACAGCCCATGGGATAATGGCAGCTAGCACCCCATTCTCCCTGCACCCCATTCTCCCTGCACCCCATTCTCCCTGCACCCCTTTCTCCCTGCTAGCCAGGCACACGAGTGCTGCTGGTGTAGCACAGCCCATGGGATGGCAGCTGGGAGAATCCCCTACCCAGGAACGCATCCTGGATGGATGGAGCACCTGGGGAGAGGGCAGGAGCCTCCTCCCTCTGCCTGCTCCCCGTGGGGAACCATCCTCCACGCGGATTCCTGGGGGCTGTGGGAGGCACGGGCAGGGACACAGCCCCTGCTTGTCTCCGGGAGATGAAAGAGCAGCTCGGGGCGCGGGGACGGCTCCGTGCTGCAGCCCAGGGCTGCGGCTGGAACGAATGCGTGCACATACCTCTGCCCCGGCATGGCTGTTTGCTCTTCTCTTCCGCGGCTGTGATTGATTAAAGGATCAGGGACATCTGAGAATGGAGGCAGCAGCGGCAGCAGCAGAAGCAGCTCCCTTTGGACTTGGAGAGCTTCCTTGCCTGCTGCTTGCTGCTGCCGTTGCCTGTCAGGCAGCTTTTAATCAAGGTTTGCTTATATCTGCAAAGGCCTTTCCCAGAGGGATGAAGGGAGGAAAAGAGGGGGGGAGAGTATATTAACATGCCAGCCACCCTCCCTCTCCCTCTCCTTTGTTTATGGAGAGGGTCAGTGCTTGGAAACGGCTGGCGGGGACCGGCAAAGGCGCTTTGGGGGTGCTGGATTGTGGCGCAGCTCCTGGCGTGCCCAGGTCTCATGGCACAGCCAGGGCTAGGGAGGGCATCACACTCAGCTGGGGTGTGCTCAGTGAGGGAGCAGGACCGGGGGGGCAGGGCTTGGTGGGTTCATCCAGGTGGCCCTGGATGCCTGGCATGTCCCCTCAGGCACGGCAGGGAGGGGACCAACCTGTATACCCCCAAATTGGGGTCTCAGCCCAGAGAGACCAACACCAGCCATGTGCTGAGACCAGCACTGTCCATACACCAAGAGCACTCAGGCAGAGAGAGCCCAGGCCCCTCCATCCCAGCCCTGGCCCCATGGAAGGTCAGAACCTCCATCCTCATCCTACAGCTCACTGGGACTGCAGTCGGGATGGCCACATCACAGCACCCCATCTCCCTTCTGCAGGGTGGGCTCTGGCAGGCAAACCAGGGCTCAGAGGGTCTGACACCAACCCCACACCTGCCCCAGGGCTGGGTTTGCCCCATGGCACTGGGATTTCAGCACTGCACAGTCTGGGAGCACCCCAGCATCACCCACCACTCCACCATCACCCAGCACCACAGCCCTGCCCACCCATACAAGCCATGTGGGAGGACAGGTGACCCCCAGCCCTGTGTCCCCTCATCAAGCACTGTTCTGCCTCCACTGCCATTCCTGCACGTCACTTTGGCTCTCCACGTTATCTTATTGCTCAGCTAATGACCTGCTAAAAGTATTATGTGAAAAACCATGCTCTTAGCCAGCCATTAGACTGGTTAGGACCAGCGGGTCATGCTTTATTGCTTTAATAACGGAGTTTATGAAAGGTCGTCTCATAACTGATAACATGCATAATTTTTGTAACTTAATTAATGCTGCTAATATACTGGAGTCTCCATCAGCTGCTGGTGCAACTGATGCACAGTTTGCATCCCGAGCAGGGCTGGGAAGAGTATCCCAGGCTCTGCAAGCAGCACCCATGGTAGGAACACAGTTCAGATCCACACCAAAAGCTCACTGTGCCACCTCTCCACACTGGAGCATCCCCTCCAGAAATGCTCCAGCAGAGACAGGGAGTGCTGTGAGTGGGCAGAGGGAAATGGGAACAGATCCAGTTCCCAACCCTACAAGCCTGAAGGGAAGGGATTTCTCTGCTTCCACTCTGCTCAGCCCATGGAGAAGACAAGGGCAGATGTGGGAGAGTTTTATCTGTGGAAGAACCACAAAACCTCTGCGGATGGGAGCTGCTCCAGCAGTCCCACACATCTCTGCCTGAAGTTACAACTGAGCAAAGGAGTTTTGCCTTGATTGGGGATTTGTGGCTGTGCCCCAAGAGGGTTCCCCTGGGAACCCCCAGACTGACTCTGCTCCTCTGGTGATGCTAAGGGCAGCCAGGCTGGCATGGGGCAGGATCCTGCTGGAACTGCTGCCTTTCTTCCCAGCGCTGGTTTTTAAGGACAACCTCCGTCACAACAATTCTGACAGGTTTTTTTGAGACTTTCTTTTAAGAACACCCTCCTGCGAGGGTGGTGAGGCTCTGGCACATGTGCCCAGAGAAGCTGTGAATGCCCCATCCCTGGGAGTGTCCAAGACCAGACTGGACAGGGCTTGGAGCAACCTGGGACAGTGACAGATGTCCCTGCCCATGGCAGGGGCTGGAATGGGATGGTCTTTAACTCCCTTCCAACCCAAACCATTCTACAATTCTGTGACAAATACACACTTTTCTCATTAAAAGGGGAAAAACACAAAAGCAAACAACTTCTCCCCACTACCCAAGCGCACACCTGGGGGGGCTGAGCATCCACGGGGGAAGCTGGGAATCAGACACATTTTCCAGGCAGCAAAATCAAGCCCTTCCCTTGCAAAAAAAAATTAAAAATTCATGTAAATAGGAGCCCAGGTGCATGCGGTGTGCGAGTCCCTGATATGCTGCCACCAGCAAATCTGGTGAGCTGTGAATCCGCGGCACCGCGCATCCAACGCTGCAAATCCGAGCTGCTCCAGTCGCCTGCTTAGTTTTGCAAATTCTTTCCTGCTGGCTGAGAAAAGCCAATATGTCTGCTGCTCCCGCTCCAGCGCAATAATTGTTCAGCACTGGTTATCATCCTGCCAGAAAGGCACGAGCTACCGCTGGGGCACTCTGCTTGCTGTAAATGCAGCGAGATGATTTCCTAGCAAATGCAAGTTTTCCAAGGAAGTGGGTGGAATCTGCTTGTCTCTGATTAGACAGCTTGGGTTTTTGTTTTCCTGGTGCTTTAGGAAGAGAGAGAGAGAGAGAAAGAGAAAGAGAGAGAGGGAGAAAAAATAAAAAAGGCATAAAATATGTGGCTTTGCATCCCCTCTGCCCTGAATCGCAGGCTCACATGCATCCAGGCGATGGTTCCCTTGGGACTCGCAGCTTTGCCCACACTCTGAGCAATGATCCCGTGGAATGAGGCTATGATCTTTCATCAATCATTGCCGAGCGCTTCTCCCTCCCGCACCCGCTCCCCGGGCTGTGCCCGCTGTGAGCACACAGCCCCACTGCTCTGCTCCCCCTTGGTGCCTCCAAAAATCAAGGGGTGCAGCCTTGGCCCCCCAAGTGCCTGGGGGGGGTCAGGACTCTGCCTGGGGACAAGGGGCACAGGGCTGCCCCTCCTTCACCTTCCCAGCTCAGCACAATCCAGGGATGCTAGGGGGTGATGCAGGATGATGGAGAGGCTTGGAGGATAAGAGGGTAAATCCTGAATTCAGCCAGAATAGCCAGGATGCTGCAAGGGAGGTGGGATCAGGACAAGCCCTGAGGCTGTGGAGAGACAGGTCTGCCTCCCCGCCCTTGCCAGGGGAGGAAAAATGACTTGAAATTAAGATTTCCTGATGTTTGGGGGCTTGGAGACCTTGACACCCCCTGCGTCCATCTGGCTCTTCCCCTCTTGTGGCAGCTCACTCCTGCGTTCCTGTCTATCCGTGAATACCAATTATGGTTTAGGAGAATGTATATCTGAGATGTGCAAATACAAAAGGCAGGAAATAAAAGTCATCTCTTACTGAAGAGGAGAGGTAACCATGACTACCTGGGACCTCATTTAAAACTGTGCCGGCCGCAGGCTAAAAGGCAACGCTTCCCATTGTTACACACGTTTACGGAAAGCTTTGAAAACCCGTTTTCCCCCCCAAAACCAGCTGGGAAGTAAGAATGAAAACGAGAATTGGAGGCGGGGGGTGGAGGGGAGGAGGATATAGAAGATATTTATTGGTGTTTGTGGGCTGGTTGTGCATCCCACCTGCACGAAGACAGACGGTGAGCTGAAACTTCAAATGAGCAGCTCGGAAGGGGAGGTAGCACCAGCGGCGTCGCGGCTCCGGCGCCACGTGGCAACCGCATGGCACCAACAGGGCTGAGGCTCCAGTGATCCCAGGGGATGCACCCCTGCAGGAAAATGGGGTGTGAGCAAGCCCCTGAGGGCTCTCCATGCTGCAAACACCGCCAGGATGTGCTCAGGGTTCATGGGGATTGGGAGGAGTTGGTGGGTCTCGGTAACCAGAGATGCTTTGCCTGCTGTCAGAGCCTGTGCTTGGTTGGGTTTGGGAGTGCCCTGGGCTTGCTGAGATGTCAGTGTGGTAGCTCCTGCAGCCTGCAGGAGGGGTAACCAGGATGGAGGGGGATAACTGGGAATTGCTGGCTGCCCAGCTGAACCTTTTCACCAGTCAGATCTGCAGGGCCAGGGGACACCGGCTCGTTGTCCCCAGCAAAGACACCCCATTGCTCCACCACATGTGCAACCACAACCTGTCCCAGCCACATCAAAGACCAGGAAAGCTGTCTGCCAGCCACCAGCCTCGTCAGGACCTCACACTGCTCTCAAACCAATGACCATGCAATTAAACTGATTTTTGGTTCAAAGGCCATCCCACCTGGCACGCTCAGGCAACAGGAACCACCTCAAAACCAGAGGCTGCTTTCTCAGGGATCTGTGTTGGGCACCAAGAGGCATCACTGTGGATGCAGACAAACGTGGTGCTCACCTCATTCCTGAGCATCTGCCACAGGCTCCCAGTGACAAAGCCATGGTCCTGAGGTCCCCCTGCCAGCACCCCAGACCCACACCTGGGACCACACAACGGGGCTGCAGGCAGGAGCCCAAGCCAGGAATTATGGTCTGTACAAAAGACAATGACAGTGAATCTTGTTACTGGCTTTTCAGCAAACGTAATTCCTTTTTATTAGAAAATTAAAGGGTATGAAAAGCTTTCCAAGGCTGAAGAGCTGAAATGTGCTTTCATAAAATATGCGGCGTCTGATAAAACGGATTTGCTTGTCTGCCTGCCCTGGCCCCCTCCCCCTCCTGACTATTATTCCTACTGGCAAGGTGATGCCTTTTGCCAAAACACCGACCCCAATGAGGCCAGTGGGGATTCCTCTGGCAGTGCTGCTCCCCAGCATCCCAGTCATCCCACCATGAGTCACTCCAGCATGCACCTGACTGAGGTTGGGTTTGAGTTGGTTCTTTTAGCTAAATAAAACTCTGAGGGGCAGTTTCTCCCCTCCAGTGTTGCAGGTGAAGACTGACAACAACCCAAACCATCACCCCAAACACAGCCGTGAGGATGCATCAGTTGCCAGCAGGAGAAGGTGAAGCCAGGCAATGGCAGACAGAAAGCAGCGGATTCCCCCAGACATCACACCAACAGCAAGCATTAAAACCTTCCTGGGAAGTGTCCTCCTGAGGAGAAAGTTGTGCCCTCCCGTGCCCCAGCACTGAGCTGCACGTGAGAGGCGCTGAGGGTTCACAAGTTGCCGGTATCAGGCAGCAAAGGTAACACGAGGAATCTCCATTTCTTCCCTTTAATCGTTCCCTCTCTCTGTCTCTTTCATCTTTCTGATGGTTCGAGTCAACCTTCCACGTTTGTGAGGTTAAAGATTCTTGCTATCTCCCATTTGGGGCTGGCAGAGGCCAGGGACCACAGCACCACAGAGCAATGCTGCCCCTTCCATCTTTTGTGGGCAGAATGCCCCTTGCCAGCCCTCCACAACCTTGGGGCTCACCTCAGCCCTCCAGGCTTCTTATTTCCATTCCATTACCAGGTCAGTTTTGCCTCTGTGAGTCCCTGGGGATGCATGGCAATGCATCCATCCCCACACAGAGATCTCACAGGGATGGTACAAAGGGACCTTGCTGTGGCCAAAGGGCTGGCACCCTCTGATGGTTTGTCACCCCTGGCATGGCAGAAACGGGGGAAATGAAACAGCATCCCCTGAGTGCCATCAGGGAGCTGACACCTCGGCTGGGAGAGGACCTGGCAGCCCTGGCCACTGTCCCCAGCTGACTCCAGCCCTGGTGATGTGACACGGGCAGGAGGCAAGGACACAGCAGCACCCACTGCAGTTGGCAGTGGACATGGAGCCACTGGGCTGGTGGGGACAAGGACAGGCAGATCCAGCTGTGTTCCTGCCAGCACTGCTGCCATGGGGAGACACAGCTCCAGCAGCAACACCGTGTCCCCACATGCCCCCTCAGCTCTCCTGCAAGCAAATGTGCCATGACCCAGCTACAGCATCTCCTTCCCACCGTGGGTTCCCCGTGCCACTGCGGGCTCCTGGTGCCACTGGCGGTGCTGTGTGAGTGCTGCCTGGCCGGCTATTACCACAGGAAAAGCTGTAACACTACAGCAAACCTCCCTGCTCAGCCCTGCTACAAATCAGGGTCAGGCGGCAGCGCTGTTAGACAGAGCCTGCCGGTACGTGCTCCTGCTCCTAATGTCCTCCTGCCACACACTTAATGGGGACACACAGCAGAACCACGCCACGGGGCTCAGGCTCGGCCCCACTGCCCATCTGGGGGCTGCTGCCCTCAGAGCTGGCTCCCCACCACTGCAGAGCTGAGGGTGAGCACCAGGGAGGCACGGCCAGGGATGTTTGCTTCCCCAGGGCTGCTCTGGCTTTACCTTTAACATCTGCAAATGTGGTTAAAAGTTTGCTGAGCCTATTTTTAGAGCCTCTCACCACATGCGATTTCTCCATGGTGAGACAGGAAACGCTGATGAGGCTGTTTGCCCCGGAGCTGCTTTCTCCTCCCTGGATGGCCTCTGAGCTCCTCTGGCCTGTGTGTGCTGTCACAGCCGCTGGTGGCCCTGGTCCCCACCTCCCAGGGTGTCCCACAGTGGCAAACCCAAGGGCTGAGGGTGACAAATTGCTGGAGGGTGCTGTCATTATGATGGTCACACTGAGATCCCCATCCATGGTCCCTAGACAGTGGGGGGACAAACGTGTCCCAACACCACTCAGGGACTTGAAGCCAAAACTGACCCAGGCAATGGAAATACAAAACCTTGAGGGTGAAACCAGGCCCCAGCATTATGGACCTTGTCCACCATCTTGCCCTGTGCCTCGGTTTCCCTAAAGGAACAAAGTTCTGCTTGGCTGCCCACCCTGGAGCAGCACTAAGGGGATGCACCAGCACTGGGCACGGGCACTGCCAGCAAACACACCCTGGCAGGGGTGTCCACTCCTCTCCCTCACACCCACT